GCAGAACAAATCGTTTTTCTCGTCAACCTCAGTTGGATCATTACTTGACTTCTTCTGAGATCTGTTGTTATCTGTTAACAGTACTAAGCTCTAAGAACATAACACAGAACCTAATGGACACCGGCAACAAACCAACCTGCTGCTTCTCTCTGGAAGACGATCTTCCCGTCGCTCAATGCCACCACCGAACAGTCGTTTGGTAGCTTCTTGGCGCAGTGCTTAGCTATGGAGACCCAAGAAGACCTAACAGAGGACAAAAAGAGTCTCAAAGAGAGTTTTTGGGCACGAGGAGAAGCAAGCAAAGAACTCAAACTAGGCACAGACTCACCCGATGGCGCGGCTGTTCTTGGTGACCCCGAGGATGAGCAGTGACGCAGCGAAGGCTTTGGCCTCTTTTACCAGAACCTTGCGTATGGACGAGCCCTTGCAAATTTTCAGCTTTAGGTCGATCTGCCAAAGCAATCGATGAGGAGCAGAATGCAAATGGGGGGAAAGGTCGGATTATGAGGTCGAGGGGAAGCGACCTGCTTTAGGTTGCAGAAGCCCTCGTAGACGGCGAGCATAGCGTCGAGTTCCTTGGCGACAGAGAACACGGCGACGGGCTGGCCACCAGGATCCTTGGCCGCTGCGGCACTACCACCGCCGGAGGATGATAGGACGTGAAGGGCGACGACAAGGTCCCCGGAGGCGGCGGCCTTGACTAGCGCCCAAGTGAGAAGTTCTCGGCTCTGCGAGTCCATTCTAACGCCAACCACCACGGTCTTCCCTCCTCCTCCTCCTCCTCTCTCCGCTGCCTTCTCCTCCTGCTCCTCCTCCACAAAGGTCTCATCTTTCTTGCTCCTCTTCTTCTTCTCAGCAGCTTCTTCTTTCGCCATCTTCATGCCTTGTGTCTTCTGCCGCTGCGGTCTCCGGTGATCTCTATCCGCCTCCTCCTCTCCTTCTTCCCAGTGTGGAGTGGGAGAACCAGAATGAGACGGCAAAGCTTCAATTCCCCATCACCTGCAGTCTTCCATGCAATTCTCTCGCTGTGTTCGTGGCTTGTCCTTCTCCGTTCAAGCAGGCGGTGAACACACAAAAAGCTAGAAAATGGCAGGATTTAATTGCAGCTTCTTTTTGTTGCCATAATGGAAATTATTCATATAATCTCCTTCCCACAAATATTTTATGCAAAGAAAAATTCAAATAAATTCACATGGAAGTGCTGAAAATTATATTTATATATGATTAAATCAATTCAAGACATTTTTCACTCTCATGATAGAATAATTATGAAAATAAATTATATTATTAAAAGCTTAATAGATAAGAGTTTATAGCAATATTGGGTTTGTTATTAGGAGGCGTTTTCTTTTCTACTAAGCTTTATGTTGTAATGGTAACCACTAAGAAGTGAAAGGGATATAAGTAACGTAAGATTTGCTTGTGTTACAAGTCATTAAGTTAGTCAACCCTTTCTATCTTCTAATGGGTAATTGACATGGTCAAATGATAAAGTATATCTAAACTTAATATACTTTTTATTTATTTATTTATTAGGAGAATCCAAGTAAACTTTTACAAATCCTATTTTCATTTGGAAAATATAAGAGCAAAATAACAAATCTATTGATATTAATAGAATAATGTGCCATAATACTTATAAAGCAATATCATAAACAATATATAACCCCAACATGCATATATACATTTTGATTGGCATCACTGCTAATAGAGATTAGCTTAAGGTTGAAGGTGAGAGGTAGCTCTCAAACTATTGCATGTGAACTTATGTTTCTTGATTACTTTTTCCTCTCCCATCTTTTATTAATTCTTGGTCAATATTTTATTTCATTACTAACCTTCCATTCAGTTGGAAGTAGGAATATGTCTTTATCATTTGCTTTATGATCTATTTAAAGAATTGCAAATCCCAATAACAAATGAAGTTTAGATGTTAACTCCAAAAAAAAAAAATCACTTCTTATCAATAACTAATTTTTTTTTTTATCAATTAATATTTTTAAATTGTAAGATTTTATTATTAAGGTCAAAATTTTAGAATAAAAATAAATAATTCATGATGATGACAATAGTTAAGTTCTTCATTAGCTACATTAACAACTTACACATTATGAAAAATATAAAATGAGGAAGGTGGAATTCTTTGAATAAGCACATGAATCAGTCTTCCTTGGGATTGCTTGCAAAGACTACTAAGTCCCAACCATCCATCAATAGCTAACAGTACCCACTCAAATGTTGACTGCACATGACAAATAGAGGGATTCATGATGATGGTAGAAAGATTTTAGCTTGTAGATAAATGTCTGTGGCAAAATGAGACAACAGTGAAGACATCAGAAAAAATGTTATCCATGTGCAAGCTTCAAGTATTATTATTATTATTATTATTATTTTTCTTGGAGGTCAGACAGGGTGATGTCTTCATCAAGGTGAGTAGGTAGTGGAGGCTTGATGCATTAAGTCCTAAGAGAATTAAACAAGTGTCTCATCAATGGCACCACATGGGGTCCTGCTCTTTAAAAAGCTGGAAGAAGCATCTGCTGAAATGCTTGTCATGTGGATCCTAACTTTTAACCTGGTTTTGATGGCTTGTTGCAAGGATGAAGCACTGTGTGTGTGTCAATTTTGTTTCTGTGATTGCACATTGCTCATGTTTTGAGAACAGAAATGGTCAGAGATGATGGCTTGTTGCAAGGATTGAAGCACTGTGTGTGTGTGTGTCAATTTTGTTCCTGTGATTGCACATTGCTCATGTTTTGAGAACAGAAATGGTCAGAGAGATGATGAACATTTAGGTATGAGGAGAAAGACTTGCATGAAAATTATACTTTTTTATTTTTGAAGTTAGAAATGTGTGGAGTGTTTGTTCTTATTGGTTTGGACATGAATACTGTAGTGAGAATGATAACCTGGGAACATGTTACTGCTGGGAATATGATCAGGGAGATGAAAGAAGAGAGCAGCTCATCAAAAGAGAGACAGCTTGGAGACAGTATCTGATATATCAATTGCAGATAACTCAGTCTGAAATTTCTATCAGTTTTATTTGACTGTGAAACCTCACTTTTAAGACACATTTTCTACAGTAGAACAAATCCTTTTGAGGTGTTCCTTGCATTGCTCTTAGATAGAGAGAGATGGAGAGACCACTTTGAGATGGTGGCTTGGCAAGATAGAGAGATAGAGAGAGATTTAAAGCTTGATCAACATCAAAAGAAACTGGAATGAAAATGCTAATCATTGCTCATCAATGCACCTGCAACCAAAGTGGAAGTTGTCTGTGGAGCATATCATCATGCCAAAAGCTGAGTTCTTGATGGAAGATGACAAAAGGTTTTGGAATAACACAAGAAGAACAAATCTTTTGATTAAAATTTTGAATATTTGTTTAGTAGTTGAGAAATATACTAATATATTTATAAGTATTAACATCTCCTCTCATATGCAAGCTTATTGTCTAAATATGCTTAATTAAAAACTAATAAAATAAAGAGGAAAAAATATAAAATTTATACTCTCAAAAAACTTAGTTGGACTGTATATATCAAAAACATAAGTTGTTTGGACTGTATATGTTTCAATATATCTCATTACATATATGTATATATATATATATGCATATATATATACATATATATATGTTTATGTATATGTATATATATAACACATTACATCATTATTTTGGTTAAATCGGCTAAAGAAAATTTGATTGTGTCCATCTGTTTAAAAAAAAAAAAAATTGATCATTTTCCTATCCACATAAAATCAAATGTAAATATCATGACAAAATTGGCTAAGAAATTAATTTTCCTACTATCTATCCATTAAATAATTATAGAATTAAAGAAAATTGATGCATGTGAAAAGTAATTATATTTAAAATAAAAAATATATTAAACTTGTTAGCGTATACTTTGATTATCCAATTTAGATATAGATTTAGACATAATCCTTTCATATTTGTTACGATTCAATTTTGATCGAACTCATCTGATTTCGAGGAGACTGAACCCTATCAATTTCGAAGAGGTTGAACCCTATAGAACTAAGTCGAGGGTATTTCTAACAAATATCTTTCCGATGCTAAAATTAGTTTTAGGTTTAGAGGATTTGACTAATAACTTGAAGAACAAAAAGATATCTTTGAACTGTTGCTCCAGTGATCGACATCAATTACAAGCGATAATTATTGAGATATCGATCATCCATCGATTACATATCGATTATGTGTCGATCACATATTAGTCGTGTGCCAAGAATTAGATGGTACTGAGATGACAACCACGTAACATTGATGTATTACCATGTAATGTTAATATAGTAGTCACTTAATATCAAAACCAAAAAGACTTCCTTGCTCATGTTTTCTTCTTTTCCTCCATCCTGAAAGATCTAAAGAGAGAACACAAACATACTCAACCTACAAAGAGAAGCAAAAATAAAGAGGGAAAGTGAGACCGGGCAAGAAAATTCCAAGTTTTCCTCTCTCAAATTCTAAGTCTCCTAAGTAGATAGATGCAACTTTCTCTCTTATTGCAATTGCGTGTAAGTAGGAATTCATCAAGTTGTAATTTTGCTACTTATTGCTAAATTGCAATAAGTAGGATTATACTTGTTGGATCAGAAACACCTCCACACATTATTCTAACTCTACACGTCATTTCTATTCTCATTCCCATCAAAAACCAATAAAAGAATAAAATATATTTTCAAAAATAAAATATTTTTTGAAAATTATAATCCATTTTTAGATTTTTCTATAAACCGATAAACTAGTCTAGTTTTAGGGTTTTTACATCATGTTATAATATTTTCAGTAACATAAAAAAAATATAATTGATTCATCCTATGATCAGTTTATAGAAAAAAAATATAAGTAAATTATTAGATAATTCTAAAAATTGAGATATTTATCGAGAAAAAATGAATAAAATAATTGGAATTATTGATCTAATAATAGTCCATCATGTGGCATTTCTTTGCATGGAATCAATGCATACTCCCAATCTATCCACGTTTGATACGTCAAGCATCAAAACAATGAATGGGATTCAACTCCAATCGTCTGAGGAGAGAAATGGATTCGTCCTCGAAACACCATATCAAAGATCAAAGAACAGAAATTACACCAATCCGATCCATCAGCTCCCGTTCGTGACGGGGTATCCGATTCCATGCCTTCGAGTGGGGAAGACCACGAACAACAGGCTGGAGATGACTCCCACTCCCAGCGGCAGGACGCTCAGCGCCTCCTCCGTCTCCCGGCTCGGCCGCGGGTAGAGGCAGCTCACCGCGTTCCGGTCCCGGAGAGCCACCGACGCGAACACCAGCACCGACAGCACCGCGTGCACCCAGTCCACCGCCCGCACCCTGTACTTGGACAGGTCGGGAAGGGCCGCGGAGGGGGAGGCGACGTAGTCGTAGTTGAAGAGCCACATGCCGCGTCGGGTGGCGAAGCCGTAGTAGACCCGCCCGTCGGCGGCGCTCCGGATGCTGTCGGTGAAGCAGGCGAGGAAGCAGGAGGCGGCCAGGAGGAGGAGGAGCGCCTGCGTCATCAGCCGGGTGGCCGTGTCGCAGGAGCCGTTGTTGGTGAACACCGGGGTGAGGAGCTGGAAAGCGAGGAGGGTGCCGGTGGGGAGGAGGTTGGCCAGGTGAGCTGTGCTCGCCAGCGCCTGCGTTATGGCTTGTTGAGACGAGGAAGCGGGTGGTGGAGGTGGCGCTGCCTCTTCCTCATGCCTTGGAGCCTTGCTTTCTGCTGGTGGTTCCTTGGATCTTTTCGATGTGGCTCTCAGCGACATCTCGATCCGAGAGCGAGAGAGAGAGAGAGAGAAGGAGAGAGAGAGAGGGGTTTCCCGGTCTTGCACGCTCGTGGTTTCTTCTAGGCCTTATCGGTCTGCGGCAGGTTTCGGTGGTAGATTACTATTGGGTGTGATGTTGGACCGGGTTGCCTTGAAAGCGAAGACATTGACTTGGTCAACTATAGCGGTTTGGGTTAACGGGTCCGGGTTCAACCCGACACCCAAACGTTGGTGGAAACGAATCCACCAAGGATTTAAAGCCTATCGAGTTGCCCGAGCCTTCCATGGCCGTCGGAGGAATCGCTTGGCGACCCAAATGCCGCGCCGTCCTCCACCTGAGCTGCCGCCGGTCCACCTTCTCCACCTCGGACGCCCTCGTCGACGACATTTGCCGTATCCTCAGCGACCACCGTGCGCCCCACCACGACCTCGCCGCGGCGCTCCGCCCCTTCGCCCCCGCCCTCACCCCTGGCGTCGCCGAGGGGGTTCTTATACGTTGCCGCCACCTCCCTTCCCCCGCCCACCGCTTCTTCCTCTGGTCCGCCGCCATCCCTGGCTTCCACCACTCCCCAGCCGCCCACCTCGCTCTCGTTCATGCCCTCGGCGCCGCCCGCCAGTTCCCCCTCCTCTGGTCCCTGCTTTCCGAGCTCCGCGACGCTGGTCGTGGCAGCGACGTTGCCCGACCCGAGACATTCTGGCTCCTCTTCCGCTTTTACGCGCGCGCCAGCCTCCCCGACGACGCCATCCGTGCTTTCAGAAGGATGCCCGACTTCGGCATCCAGCCGGGCCTCGAGGACTTCCATCATCTCCTCTCCTCGCTCTGTCGAAACGGTCTCGTTGCGGCCGCTCAGTCATTCTTCGATCAGTCAAAGTCCCTCTTTAATGTGAATCACAAGACGTTTAGCATTTTGATCAACGGCTGGGGCGATGGTGGGGGTCCGAAAGAAGCCCTTAGGCTGTTCGACGAAATGCTTCATAGAAGATGCTTGGTGGATGTGGCCGCTTACAACTCCCTGATCTTAACCCTCTGCCAAGGAGGTGAGCTCGGTGAGGCGCACGTCCAGTTGCAGGAGATGCAAAAGACTCACAGGCTCAAGCCAGATGCGGGCACCTATGCTGCTTTCGTCCGAGCTGCATGCAAGGCCAATGATGTGCATGCCGCCGTAGGGGTGCTCGACAGAATTCGAAGGCATAACCTTGTGCCGAATGTTTTCACCTACAACTGCATCATTCGGCTTTTCTGTGGAAATGAGATGGTGGACGAAGCTTATGAGTTGCTAGATGAAATGATCGAGCGAGGTGCGAAGCCTGATGCTTGGAGCTATAACTCGATACTGGCAATTCATTGTAGGTTGCATGAGGTCAATAAGTCGCTAAGACTGCTAGCAAGGATGGACAAGGATGCCTGCTCACCTGACCGACACACATATAATATGTTGTTGAAGATGTTAATTGGTGTCGGAAGAATAGACCGAGCAATGGAAGTTTGGGATGGGATGCAGAGGAGAGGGTTTTACCCTGCGGCCTCATCATATGCGGTAATGATCCATGGATTGTGTAAGAAGAAGGGGAAGGTCGAGGAAGCATTCCGGTACTTTGAGATGATGGTTGATGAGGGAATTCCTCCATATCTTAGTACTTGCGAGATGCTAAGGGATAAATTGTTTGAGATCGGATTGAGAGAACAAGTTGGGGTGCTTGCAGATAAGATGAGACGAAGCACTTCCTGCACGATACAGGAGCTCGTGATTGCAATGGAGGGAAGGAAACGAATTGGCCATACTCGAGAAGAATAAGGGTCAATTCTTTGGTCATCGTTCCAAGGCTTGTTCTGAAAGGCCACTCATTCAAGTCAAAGTAGCTGTTTCAGTGAAAGTCAAACCTTTTTGTGGCTGATCAGTTTTCTATTGGAGACCCATATTGATTGGCAATTTGAGGTGCTCCTTATCAAGAAGATCAGAAGAAGATGAAAGTTCCATGCGGCAGAGGCTTTTCTGTGTATGTAATAACTCATATTGTCAGATTGATTGATGGAGATTTAGTTATAATCAGATGGACACCCAGATGGTGTGGTTTCAAAGGAAGCTAAACAATTTTTTGCGGTGTTTTCCTTTCCCTCTAAACTAATGGAGGATGACTTTGTAGCGGAGTAGCAGTGTGCCATAAGGGTTTCAACAAATTGACAATTCATTGACATCAAGAAGAGAAGAAATTTATTTATTCATTTTAATAAAGCGGGCAGTATCTTACATGTCTGGATTGATCTTTGTGCATGAATGAATTTGAGGAATCTTGGTTTTTCTTATTGTAGCATGCAAATATCAAGGAGGGCACAAGTAGCCGGGAAGCTCTTGGCACTGAGTTGACAATCTATCAATTGCAGGGGTGTAAGAAGCATTGGATTTGGCTTACAAGAAAACCCTTGTTGGTGCTTGAACTGCAAAGTCTACATGCTTGTTTTGCTCCTGCAAAGAAGGCTGTTGTATGTTGCTTCTGTCTGAAGTATCATCTAGCCAATCACTTTGAACTAAGAGTATCATCAAATGAACAGAACCAGAGCCCAAAGAATGCTATAACCAGAAATATGTAGAGCAACATGGATCACTCTAGGAGTGTCATGTTCATGGTGATGAAGCTGCTGTGGTGCACTTATCCTGTTCCAAATTCCTGTTTTCCCATCAGCATGGTCAAAGTCTTATTATTATGATTGAGGGGCGGGCTACACTTGCAGGTATCTCTGATAACTACACTTTTGGGTGCTAATGTTTGATTGCTAGTCTTTGTAGTAAATCCCACACTCATATTCCAGTGTCCAATGTGACTGACCAAAGATGGACATCAAAGAAAGATCTGCACGAGTGAAAGCAAAAGCCTGCTGTACACATTGCTTTGACGAGGGCCAACCATTCTGTCATCTCGTAGCCATTGTCCTCTTCCGTGTGAGAAATGGGTGGCCTGGGAAGGGAGAACACTTTGCAAGTTGTTTCTATCCTGCTTTATCCTAATTCCACAGCTGTAGCCCGCTCACAGTTCCTTTACTCATCAGCACAGGGTTGAAGGAATTCCAATAATAAGTTGCATGATTGGTGGGAGGAGAGATTCATGGCTATCAAGATACTTTTGGGCACAGTCTTGTCTGCCATATGGAAGAGCATAATGATGGTAACTCTCCTCAAACCCACCACTTCATGCTTTTGGATGGGTTAGCAGATGCAGTGGATTCATCATGAACTTATCATGACAGGGCCAATATCAATTTACCTATCCTCTATGATTTTAGTACAATCTGAGCACACTCCAAAATTGTGTGATCAGATTATGCCAGAGTACAACTTGAGAGCCAGCAGAATCCATGAAATTAGACTCGGTTGCAGCACCAATGACTTCCTTCCTCTTCCTGCTCCTCACAATCACATCCAATCCAACAATGAGATCCTAAAGAATCCTCCTAGCTAACCTTTTCCATGGGGCAAGGCTTAATTGGTCTGATATTATATTGAGCTATCAAGAGCATCAAGACCTTGCAGAATAATCATTCAATAGGTCTCACCATTTTCTGGCCACAACATTCAACATCCAACACAAAGGTTTGTCCATTGTGCAACCTTATTAATTACCACACCATCATATTCTTTTACTTCTTCAGACAGTATTTTTCTTTGACAGCTTTCGAGTTTATGCTATGGTAGCTGTGCCAAAGTAATTATATGTTTGTCGGTTCACTGTATGGTGTTCCACACGCAGGTTGTCAGTCTCAAGAACACTGTGCCTACTGTGATTCTTCTCAAAGGAGCAGATAAGTCCAAAGCCCCTTTGAATTAGTCCAACTTTGACTGGGCTAATTCAGATTGATCGTCCAATTATTTTGTCCAACACCTCAATTGATTACGCTGCGCAGGATAATGACAAGCAATTGCCACCCCCAGTCTTTGTTGCATCTGTAGTTGCTATCCGATTCTTCCCCACCAGGACAAAACTCCTCGTCTCCTCTTATTTGTTCCTGTGGTTGTCTTCTTTGCATCCCTCATCCAAACCCTGTTCAAGCAGCTGTACACTGCTATCAGGATTTCCCTTCCCTTCCAAGCTGTGTCCTACCGAGGCATCCCTGCTGAGTTAAAAGAGTGCAACCTGGGATCTGATTCAGAAACAACTTGACAGCTTTTATCCTATCAGAGCTGCTCCCTCCACCAGAGCGTAAGTCCTCTGTACTTGATCTTGATATCAACCTCATCTTTTGCTTTCCTTGGTTCATTTTCTGTCAGCCTTATAGAACAGTGCATGAAACTTCATCTCTGTCCAAGTAAGAACATTCTAATTGCAGAAACATGCACTTGTTGCTGCTTGTTCTGATGCTGTGATTGCTACAGGAGTACCAGGATGAGCATCCCTGAACTGTTCAGGTGTCCGATTAGCCTAGACTTGTTTGCCGATCCAGTCACTCTCAGCACGGGGCAGACATACGACCGAGCTAGCATCGAGAAATGGCTCGGCTATGGGAATTCAACATGCCCGGTGACAATGCAGAGGCTTCACGACAAGTCGCTCGTTCCCAACCACACCCTCCGGCATTTGATCGAACAGTGGTTTCTCACTGCCTCTGTCCACGGTGACGGTTTAGTGTTGATGGATCCAATCAACAGCATGGATATCTCGCTGTCTGAGCTCAAACGAAACCTCCGATTGCCGACCTCTACCCTCACGACAAAGCTCGAGACACTCAGAATAATCAAGGTACTGTCGTCGGAGTCGAGCGTAAGGCAGGCCAGCCTAGTTCAGGCAGGCTTCTTCCAGTTGCTGCTCCATGTGCTGTTCCAAGCTCCGGTCGCCCACAATGCCGAGGTCACAGAGCTAGCTCTTGATGGCGTTCTGAATCTGTTGCCTTCGGCGGATTTGGAGTCGCTAAACATGCTGAGGAAGGAGAGCAGCTTGACTCAGCTAGTGTTCCTCTTGGACCAAAGCAATGTTAAGATCAAGACCGCCTTGTGCTGCTTGTTGGAGACGATCGCTGCGTGTTCTGCGACGCAGGAGCTGTGCCTCATGTTAGGACGGCGGCAGCGGGTTCTGCAAATCCTGGTCTCGCTTCTGCAGCAAAAATCGGACGCCCAGGCTTCCGAAGCCGCCGTGAGAGCAGTCTGCAGCCTGTGCTCATCGGAAGCCAACAGAGCCACTGCGATCAGAGAAGGCGCTGTGGACGGCCTCATCGCTTACCTCGCGGACACGGGATGTGCTCCGAGGTCGAGGAACCGAAGCGCCGCGCGCGCGTTGGCCACACTGGAGCTTCTTCTGGGCCTCGAGATCGGCAAAAGGAAGATGAACAAGAACCCAGACGCAATCGCGACCCTGGTGAAGATGGTGTTCCGAGTTCCCTCCGACCAACGAGGCAGTGAGCACGCCGTCGGGTCGCTGCTGCTGGTGTGCTGCGACTCCGCGACGGTGCGGAGAGAAGCCATCGACGCCGGGGTTTTGACGAAGCTACTGCTGCTGCTGCAGAGCCAGAGCAGTGCCCAGGCCAAGACGAAGGCCAGAGCTCTGTTGAAGCTGCTTATACCTGTAATCAAAAAACAAGTCCTGTGATCTCTGTGCATACTTCTCGTGAAATGGAATCACGAGTTCTCCTGCAGTCGATGAAGCCTCTGCCTCCATCTTGGCCACTCCAAGCAGAGATTTGTCTTCACGTTGTCTAATTAGTTCGTTGATGAGATACTCCAATGACGCTTGGACTAATTGTCGCACCAGCCCAATTGGTGCATGCGGCCCAACTTGGGTTCGTGTGGGCTACGCACAAATCCTAAAGCGCTGATGAGATCTTTTCACGGATCTCAAAGCCTATTTCTCCACTACTCAAATTCAAACGAACGCGAGCCTGCGCGGGATTCGTGAGGAGGATATAAATTTAGAGGCGGCGACGAAGGAAGATGCCGAAGGGCTTCGGTGCAGCACATCGGGCCGATGGCGATCGTCCGCCTCAAGAAGCACTGGCATCGTTGATCCGGAGTGTAAGCAACCTTCTCCGCCCGTCATCATCTATTCTAATCGCTGAATCCCAACTTCTTTCTTCTTCTTCTTCTGGATCCAAATACACTGTCCATCTAGGGTTTATATGGTCTTTTCCCAACTCAAGATTCCGGATTCGCATTTAGATCCATCATCTATTCTAATTGCTGAAGCACTGCCTGTCTAGGGTTTTATGGTGTTTACCCAACTCAAGATTGAAGAATCGAATTCAGGTTCATCTGTGACTAGGTCTCATGGTTTGTAAAGCTGGTCGTCCAATTCGATCATTTTCTTGGGAAGAAAGCAACGAGAATCGATTGCCGTCGGTACCTCGTCCTGTGTAGATAGGGTTTTACCAAGTTTACCCAACCCAAGAATCAAGAACTGCCTTCAGGTTTGCTCGGGATGCGATTCCACACTCGGATTTGATTTTTTTTTTTGTTTTGTTTTGTGTATCGCATTAATACCTCTTGTATTAAGTTCTTCTTAATTTTTGATGCAGAAATCAGGATTTGGATGTGGTTTACTCAGATATCTTAAAAGGATTTCTAGAGTGTTCAAGAGGTTTGAGCTTGCCTTTTGACAGTCTGTCAATCAATCAAAATATGCATGGTGGTAAGCTTGCCCTTTTCTATGCTAGTTTGAGATGGTAATTTATGTTCTTGTTTAAGAAATGCAACCCTTTAAACTATGTAGAGGTAATCTTCTGTGGTATAATCTTCCCATGGCTCATATGGGATGTAATCTTTTGTTTCGTATCGGACGATCTGACATATTCATGAACAAAAAAAAATTTCAATGACAGTCTAATGCCGTAAGAAATGTTTGTGCATGTCTTATTTTGTACAATTCCAAGAAACTTTAAGAAATGCCACAAGTCTTTGAGAAAGGATAGGAATTGTATACTTTAAGATTATTCTGTTGTCCACCTTCAGAACTGTTCTTTTCTGAGCTAATGTAGGTTACTAAAGGATGTTTTGTGTAAGTTCATTCACAGGTTCTGCCTATTATATAACATATTTTGTTGTTTACAAGATAATTCAACTTCATGCTACCTCAATTGTCATTGTTAAATATGCAATTTTCAGTTTGATTTAGTGATCTTTAACTTGTCTAAATTAAATTTCTGCATATCTTTACTAATCCTAATGTTAATAATTTTTTTTTTATAAAGAAATATGGTGCAAGTAATATCCTTCATTTCAATCTTATTCCGCGAGGCATAGAGGTTGTTGTTATGGTTGTAGCAGTTCTCCAGTAAGATGGATGATGACTGATAGATTTTGGACAAAGTAGAGCTTTGGAAAATTATCAATCTAGAAAGTCAATGTCCTTAAGCAATCAGCATGATTAAGCGACTGATGCATGAAAATACATTTTACGGTGAATCCTAGTAAAAGCTCTAAAAAGGGTACTTTACTTACTAAGAGATGTTTTCAAAGTTGAATTGTTCTTTCTTGGCAGCACAAATGTGATGAGAGTTTCTGATGGCTAATGTCTTCTTGCAGCAACTTTGCTGTTGTGTTCATTGTATTCAACAGCTAAGAACAAGTCTTCTCATGCTTGCATAAGATCTTTCTCCATCGCAGTTATTATTTGATTAGGCAATGTTTTACTGATACATCATGGCAGAGAGGATTCAATTTTTTAGTTAAACAAATAGATTTATTCCACAAACTTGGGAGTTGTTTTTGTTGATATCTGTCAGACAAGCACGAGACTGAGAACTTCTTTTGAGCTCTGTTGAAGCTCCATTGAAGTTGGTACTAAGGCCAAACATGATCTGGCTATTTAGGTCTTGGGAAGAGAGAGAGGGAAGACCACTTTTCCATCGTAGAAAATTGGAGACGTAGGATATAACATTAGATTAGGTTTGGGTGTTGTGCATGTGGATATGTACTATATATATGACAGATTGAACATTGGATATTACAAAAAGTCATTCCTGTATGTCAACGAGGAACTGTTGACATACAGGAACTACATTGATGATTACTCTGCTCCCAGCTGGGACTGTTGGTGATCGATCTTTTCTTCTTGAGGGCTACAAGAAGAAGGAACAGGAAGGGGCGAGAGAGAACCATGTAGTGGGAGGACACCAACTCCACTCAGATAATATTTTGACCCACGGAGAAGATACTGCCAGCCGGCGGAAGAAGTGATGATAAGGTTGCATCATTTGCTTTAGTTTAAGGTCTTTTCTTTCAGCGTGAATCAGGGGATCGGGGTTGGCCCCCAGAACTGGTCAGAGGCACGGCATCACAGATTGTATCTTTCGACCGTTTTTTTTTTGACCGGTGGTTGGAGGAGTCAAACTCACACAACTGTGACGGCATCCATGCCGATTTCTCTTCCGAAAAAATAAATGTCAGTTGGCTCGAAAAAGCAATCTCACGTTTGCCGCAGCTGCAACGTTCTTAGTTACTTCTCAGCGTTTGGATTTTTACAATTTTTTTAAAATTATATTGATATTTTTATAATTATAACAGTAAAATAACTAGATTCATTTATCATAATAATATCAGTTTTATCGATAAAAATATAAAAATAAAAAAAATAATTTTAATATTTAGTGACGAACGAGAACGTAGTTGGCATCAATGTTGATGCAATTATTTGATTGCTTTTGATGACGATAAGTTCTGATCGTGACACTACCTGCTTTTACGAGGAGCATATCATCAGTCATATCGTTGTCCACCTTATGTTATTTTGCATCTGCATTGATACGAACATAGTTGTCGAGTGAAAATTACATTAGCGTCGATGGTGGTGGCCATCGTTACATCTATGGCGAAGATGATGATCGCTTCGTCGTTGACTTGTTGAGTGGATCTTAGTCTTTATCTAAAGCTAGGGTCATCGGAGCTCCTACCATCAATTCTGACACCATCACTTGTTGCTCCTTATTTGTGTCGATATTGACGTAGTTGCCAAGTAACATAAGGGTCGCTTAACGTTTACATCAGCATTGACGTAGATGCAGCACACCGTCACTCAACATTTGTATTGATATCAATATAGATGTAAAGTGATGGAAGGGCCACTGAATCCATCTTATAGGTCAACAGTGAATTGTAGACATCGTGACGACCACTACCATCAAGTAACTGTGTGGGCGTCGACACAACTACAAAGTGACACGAGACAGCGACGATAAGGTTAACGATATGCTTCTAGTAGAGACGGGTGGTGTCACGAAAAGAATAGATCTTATTGTCATCAAATGCAGCCCGTCGTCTGCCACCCCTCACGTCATCTTTTAAATGTCAGTATATATATTTTTTAAAGTATAAAAACCAAAACGATAAAATTAACTAGGTACAATTAGCCCGAGTTGGTAACTTCAGCACCGAGATGCTGAGCTAATTGTGAATGCAAAGGTTTCCGCTTAATGCTACAAAGGTTTCCACTCTTCTTGCTGAGCTGCATACTGGCAGTGTCCCATCAGATACATTCACCCAACCAAAGATGTCAAATTCAATTCAGATATCATATCACCAAGAAGACAAAAGTGTCGACTTAAATGTTCTACAATAGACGTCTTTTATTATCAAGTAGCAGTTCAGGACACAAACCAGCACTATAATTATTGGCCCCCTCCCTTTGCCAAGCGTTGCATCATTAAACATCGAATAAGTACATAAAATAGATGTAGCATGCGACTTCCCATTAACATCCATGCTGAAATAAATGCTGCTGCCGGCAGACAACCGTCCCCCATGAAGTTCGAATGTCAGCTTTTGGTAATACACCATGAGAAGCCGAAAGAGAATAGAGGCGGCTTTCGTGGAAGAGAAGGATGATAGACTGCCTGATAGGAACAGTAGCTGTGTTGTCTATAGCCATGAGAAGCTCTGAGTGACACTCACTTTTGGTAAATCTGGTGAACACCGAAATAGATACCACGAAATAAATTGCAGTGTTTCAACTTCCACCAGATTCCAGAGAGAGACACTAGTAAGAAATAAGTTGTACTATGGTTGAAGAACCAAAACAAATCAGGGAAGCGCTGCAAAATTTACTGATGAGCATCTCTTCTAAGGCAGAACTCACAAGTAGTGTGAATCCATTTTCTTTTCTTGACATCGTCCTTTCAGTAAATATTGGCCCATAGCTATAACAAACACTTGGCTTTTGATGCTTGAAACCCATATAGACAAAAGGGGCCACAGGAATTTAGCTGGAGAGTGTTCTTGCAAGTGATGATAAATACTCAGAAAGAGGATCGTTCAAGTGGGGGCACAAATTCACCAAAATCTCCAATCTGATCGATAATTCCAGAACCAAAAAACTTTAATTACAACTACTTAAAAAAACCCTAAAAATAGTAATTATAGAAAAACAATTGCATCAGAAAAAGAAAATAGAAAGAAAAAATATACCTGCATGCCCGGTAACCAATGTTGGCTTGTTGTATCAGGTCCTGTATGAGGAAGACCATGCATGCCACCATAAACATCATTATCAAAGTAAGGGATTGGATCAAGGATGTGATTCAGATTCTCCAAATCGGGCCAATGACCAGATGGGTTTGGGGCAAATGGAGTACTTGGCTCGACAGACACATAGGGATTTCCATCCCCAATAAGATCATTCAGCTCAACATACTGTTTACTATCAAGTTCTTGTAGCGTAGGACACAAGGCAGTTTCATTGAGAATGTTTTCAATTAGATCGATATTGCCAGAAATCAATTCCCCAGTAGAGAGATCGTCTAATTCATTATATACTCCTTCAGGGTCCATAGCTGCAGCTTCATTAACATTCATGCTAGGAATGGTTAAATCAGGCATCTGCAAAGGAGACCACCAAAGACGCATCACATACAACGTAACTAATCATGCATTTGCATCAAAAAGTTCAGAAGAGATGTGAACCATGAGTACCTTGCCATCAGCATTCTCTACGAGTGGAGAGCTATTAAGAAACTCTGCCAACTCCTCCAACGATATTCCATCAACATCAAGAAGATCATGATCGGAAAGTAACTCAACAGCACTGGAAGCTATAGGCTGTTTGCTAACTGGATCCGCCTGTATAGCTTGGTTATCTAATGGTTCTGCACTCAGGCAAGAAGATACACAAGGAAGAGGAAAGGAACTCTCAATGGCCGTGTCATCCTCCCAGTCCTCTTCGTTAAATGGCGCACCATATTGCTCCCCAATTCTAGGACCCAGACCACTCTTTTGGAATACTTTGCAGAGTAAGTAAGCGTCCTGTATTGTATAACAAGGAAAGTCTAGTAAGTAAATTGTAAACTAATTAAGTACAACAAGATCAATAGCTTTTGCAAAAGAAAAGGTCAAATTGAATGCAGCATCCTTGCAGTGATATCGAACAAGAAGTAATTGTAAGAAAAGAAAAAACATCCCCATAAATTAGCATAGCTATGGTGACTTCCAATTGAACGGCATACTGTTTGATAGTGGCTCCTTCAACCTACTTTTAGTTTTTATAAGGCTACTTTGAAAAAAATCTTTCATGGAATGCAGACTCATGACAGGCCAAGCAGTCCCGGTGGATAGTTATGCCCTATGGTCTATAGGTGCCAAGCCAAAAGAATTAAGTGCCCAGGTGATTAACAGGAAGAAGGAACAATAAAGCAGGTAAAAATACAACTAAGCAACCAATACAATAAAGACACTGTATGCATAAAATACTATCCCCCGAGGACATTTTAGAAATGCAGTAACAAAGATCATACATAACACCTTTAAATAAGTATCGGAAGCAAGCTTAACCTGTGCGAATCCAGCATCAACCAATTCCCTGCTCTGTAGTCGGTATTCATACATCACCCAGTTAGTCCTTGTCCCCTTTGGTGGTTTCCCCTCGTGAAAAACTAGAGTCCTTCTCATACCAACCGTACAAGAGTTGTGAATGACAGATTTGTCTTTTCCAGTAGCCTTCCAATAACCACCATCAGTTGCTCGATTTGATCGAGAGCCATTTGAATATTTTTTATCACGATGGCAAAAGAAGTACCACTCAAGATCCCTTGTGCGCAACCGAGATTTTTCTGTGCAAGGCAGAAAGGCTGATAAGAATCAATGTCAACCTAAGAGAGAAAATGATACAACAAAGAAGAACTTCATGGAACAGTCATCTATGTTGGAGGGTGGTGGCTCCCTCGTGATCATTGCACTTGCCAAGAAACAATCCATAATATATTATTTTATCCATGTAGCACTATTTTATACATTGGCAAAATTCTAGGTATTTTGAAGTTTACAAGCAACCGAGAGTAAGATGACATCTTTACCATCCAAAAAGGATCAGATACGAAAGTGACATAAGATTACCTGGGAGTTCCCAAGGGGCGAATTTGTATAGCTCAACTTCAGAAATAGCCTCAGACCGGAAAGGCTTTCCCATTACTTTCCTCTTCAAGTAGTACCAAACAAGCTCAACATCAGTGGGGTGAAAACGGAAGCCCGGTGGGAGGTTGGTCTTAGCCATCACGATCTCTTGTCTATAATACTATAATGAGACTTAAAATTTGATATAGCCAAACAGCAATAACAGTATAACTGTGCTTCTCAAAAGTATCCTCAGCAGCGAAAACCTTTGTTGGCTCAGAAATGGAAACCTTTGGATTAAGTTCAGCTCCGAGCCAAAATCTCTGAATTATCAAGTCCAGTGCCGAAATAATGCTCTACGACAACAAAACAACAGACTACGGCATATGAACCGAAAGTCGCACCAAATAAAACTAGGATAGTCCGTTCTGATGTCAAAAGACATTTGATATGCAAGCAGAACCCTGTCAGCAGCAATTACATGTTACAAACCAGATTATTTACTGAATAAGCATCAAGTGATAAAAAAGGAAAAGGCAAAAACTCAGGCTAAAGTAAATACGGCGGCGGCAGCAGCATCATCATCATCAGGTGATGAAACCAAAACCAGAGACACAAAATCTTACAATATGAGATAAACATGATTGATGCTCCAAAGAAACAAGATGCTCAAACAGGAGAAGGGACCAAAACCTATATATGGAAAAGGGCTTCCAGATATTACAAAGAATATAAGTCAATAAATAGGCAGATAGATCTACACCCGAATTTTCAGAGTCGGTCTGATCTGACTCGGAAAAACATCACAAGGATCATAAACTCTGCATATGCATACAGACCTACGCCACTAGTGATCGGAACAAGTACATAGCAGATCCGTTGACTTCGATCAACCGGATCGGTTGACCGAACGACTCAGCACAACCCACCTCAATCAACAGATCTACAGAGAACCAAAACTCTAGCATGGAAAAACACAAGATCTAATCGAAGCAAAATACGCCGATCATCTCAGACACGGACCGATGCAGCGGACAAACAAAGAACTCAAGCTCGACACCAACTCATCCAAAAAGAACACAGATCGAAGACGGAAGATCGATCGTCGAAACAAAGAAGCGATTACGAGATCGAAGGTTTAGGGATGGCAAACGTACGCCTGGGGAGCTCTATCAAAGCGTAGATCAGTGCGCCGCCCTTGACCCTGTGGGTAACGAAGAAGGAAAGGGGGGGAGGGGAGGAAGCGAGGTTTATATAGGCACGTGACCGACTCGTGCCGTTAGTCGTATCGCGTATCGTACATAGCTTCCCACGCACGCCTCCTCTTCCCATTGGCCAAACAGAAAACCTAATGATTCGAATCAAATTCGGATCAGGATTTGACCCGAATCCGCGACTGCATGGTACTTACGATGTGCTTCCGACGCACTCCTCCTCTTCCCATTGGCCAATTAGAAACCGTACCGAGTCCATGAATCAGATGTGACCCGATGATTAGAGTCGAATTCGGACAAGAGTTTGACCCGAAGCCACGATAAGGATAAGAGTCGGATTTGACCCGAAGCAATCATGATTGCATCGTGGTGGTCGCGTACACTTGGAGACATCAGAGCCGAGCATCACAATTGGTGCTGTTGTCGAGCAAGAAGGCTTGAGATTTCCTCTCGTAGTAGTACCCGTTGGACGAGGAAGCATCCGCCGAGAACACCATCACCCCGTTCACCTCGAATCCCTTGCACTCGAGCAGCCGTAGGGCGTCGAAGAACGAGTCGCCCTGAATCCCTCTTCCGTTCACCTCGTAACTGGGCAGCAGCTTCGTCGCGTCGAACTGCTTCGCCCGCAGCGCAAATGCCTCCTGGTATCCGCTCGGCCGGCTCACACGCTCGGTGTAGAACTGGTAGTTCACGTAGTCGATGACGCCGCCGTACCGCCGGAAGAGCTCGGCGTAGCGCCAGGCGATGTCGTGGTAGGGCGCGATGGTGGCCACGGTGATCACGCCCTGCTCCTTGAGCTGGGTGAGCAGCTCCCCGATGCAGAAGGTAAAGGTTGTGTCATTCTTCGGGAACACCTCGTAGTCGACGTCGATGCCGTCGAGGTGGTACTCGGCCGCGAGTGACTTGAGAGAGGCGAAGGCGTTGGAGATCCACGACGAGGGGTCGGTCGGGTTGTACCACCGGAGGACCTTGTCGCCGAGGCACCAACCGGAGAGGCTCGCGAGGAACTTGGCGTTGGGGTGGTCGGCTTTCATGGCTCGGACAGCAGTTGGGGTGAGGGTGGAGACCCAGTAGGGGGAGAAGACGCCGTTCTGAGGGGCGCCGGAGGGGTCGGCGTCGATGGCAAAACTCAGAATGAAGTGGAAGTCGATGTTGGGATCGACCGGTACGTCGGAGAGCCTCACCGGATTCCCGGTGGCTCCTATATATTCCATCATCACCTTCCCATCTGCGAAGATTAGTTTACACAGCATCAAATCATTGATCATCCAGAAAAAGATGAAGCCGCAAGTAAAACAGCAGTGGATCACGATGTGTCGAGCATGCAAGGATCAAGGAAAGGTTTAAATTTCTCATCTATGTGCAAACAAATCTTACTGCGAGCCGAGGGAGAAGAAGAGAATTTACCGCAGGATTGGCAACCGAAGAGGAGAACTGCTGCTAGAGAAAGATGCAGGAGCTTGATGCTGACCATGGCTTCAACCTTGAGCACGGCGAGAACCAGATAGCAAGAGTTATATACTATTATTTCTGTCTGCAGCCGGCTTCGTTGAGCTTCACCTGTGCTCATCAAATATATGGCAAGACATATTATATTATTTCTTCCAGTGTCTTGTGCTTTGATGGAGCTGAGGATGCGAGGCAGGTTCTTCTAACCTTTTCCTCCAGAGAGTCCTCTGAGACTTGCCTCTTGTTTTGATAGCTTTGGAACTATATGATGGCCTGCATATAGTCTCAAAGTTCTAGTTGAATAGTAATTATGTGCACTACTGTTCGTCTGTTCTTTCTACATAGAAGACTGCTTTTCTAGAACATCAATATTTGAGAATTAATAATGCTAATAAACCACTACAACATGAAGTACGGTTTGATGTAAATTATTGGCAACTGTTTGGGCCCGAACAAACAGAACTAATAATATTTTCAAGAGCCTCAAGAATCATTGTAGAGACGAAGAAAAAGGAAAAAAAGGAGGTTAAATCGGCTGTTGGAGCATAGAAAACAACATAATCCAAGAAAATGGATTAGGATAAACAAAGGGAATTGAAATTTGATGTATACTGTTAATCTGAAAGGAAGTGACAGTGAGATACCTTTGATCATTGTATTATCAAAGACTCTGCAGTTTGCATTCATAAAAGCAAAGCTGTGAACATCCATATATCAAATTCAAAATTTTGAGACTGCATTTATGGCCTAATGTTTGGTACCATATCTGATTCAGGAAACAAGTAGGAGATTTATGACAAATATTGATTGTTCTACAAAGGAAAGGACTAATGTCCTCAGCTGAGAAGCTCTAAAGAACTTAGCTACAATAGATTTCATTTTTTCTATGGTATTAAGGGAAAATTTGGATCTAGAATCTAGAAAGAACGGTGGAGAACTATAAATAAATTACCTGAAAGTTAAGATTATATAAATAGAAACACTTCTTCTGAAAGTTTCAGATACCAAACACGTACTGATAAACAGCCAGTGTGGCAGGTAATCCAAATGACTGCTTGAGGTTGCGCACCAATCACAAAGAACTAACTCCTTGACTTGAGCAGAGAATAAGCAGCTGACAGGCAGGTGCACGGTTGATCTTTGTATCAGCACAGTTAAACAGATCGGCCTATGCAAACCACCATACACCCCACCAAGATGAGAAGGAAACACCAGATCATTCAACAATGAGTAACTACTGCAGATATGATTGCATAGACTTCTTAATACCATGGTGTTAGAAATCTGATGAATATGCATCCGATTATGTTGTTGATGGACACTCTGTTTTGCCTATATATATATGCTGTTTGTCAATTTCGGCACGAAGCTTCTCATGCACAAACAGATGATACTTTCTCCTCGGCATATCAACAGCTACAAGTCTGCATTAGCATACAATAAGCCAAGTTGGCCTCTGAAAGGCGTGTAGCCTAATTGTCTCATTAGCTCTGTTAATCCATCCAAGGCATCATAGATCTCCTTCCTCCTCTTGTGCCTTGTATCCTTGACCAGGAACTCATGGACCTCTCCACCCACTTGGATTGAACTACAACCAGGCACTTTTTTTATTCCCTCCTTTCGCATCATTGCACGAACATTCACAACACTGTCCCACTTTCCTTCTACTGCACCGGAGTTTGAAACCAGAACCTGATAGCAAGAACTCAGTGGCTCTAAATCAACAATTTTTTGACTGACAAACTCTACCAACTCTTGAGCTCCATGAGAAACGCAAGAACTGAGCAAAGTTGCCCATAAAACAGCATTGGGCTCCATGGGCATGTTCTGAATAAATTTGAGTGCTTTTTCCAACTTCCCTGCACGGCCAAGGAGGTCTACCATGCATCCATAATGCTCCATTCTTGGCCGAATGCCATGTTTTTCCACCATTTGTTTATATATGATCTGACCTTCTTCAACAAAGCCTCCATGTGTGCATGCAGATAAAACAGCAATGAAGATAACATCATCAACTTCCATTCCTTCCATGCTCATTCTCTCAAAAAGGGCCAAAGCATCTCTACATTGCCCATTGTAAGCTAAGCCTGAGATCATCGTTGTCCATGTTATGATGCATTTTCTTGGCATCTGTTTAAACACAGACTCGGAATACTTTATGTCCCCACACTTTGCAAACATATCAATAAGAGCATTTCCCAGTGCAATTGTTAGGTGAATGTTGTTCTTCTTTATGTAGGAGTGGATCCAATTTCCATGCTCAAGACTTCCCAAATGAGCACATGCTGAGATGACACTGGTGATAGTGGCCTCATCTGGAGGAAACCTCCTCTCTAGCAACATCAATTGAAACATGCTCAGTGCCTCGTTAAATCGACAGTTCTCATTGTATCCCGCTATCATTGCATTCCATGAAACCACATTTTTCACTGGCATTTCATCGAAGACCTTCCTTGCACATTCTAAATCACCAATTTTGGTATAAGCCGATATCATAGTTGTCCAAGAAACCACATCTTTGTCTTCCATCTGATCAAAAATTGATTTTGCAGCCGAAACATCACCGCTCATCACATATCCTGAGATCAAGGTATTCCACGAAATAGTGTTCCTCGTTGGCATCTGGTCAAACACCGATCGAGCTGAGGCCATGTCTCCAATCCTAGAAAGACCCGTGATAACTGAATTCCAAGAAACAACATTCCTCTCAGGCATCAACTCAAAAATAGCCATAGCCCGTGCCATGTCCCTACGTTCCATGTACGCCCCAATGATCGAATTCCATGAAACCACATCCCTTTCAGACATATCATCAAATAATTGACGGGCCAAGTCAATATCCTTGGTACATCTTGCGTAAGTACCTAAGAGGGCATTCTGAACAAAGATATAGCACCCAAATCCAAATCTTAGAATTTGGCAATGAACTCCTTTACTCCACTTCAAAGACCCCAAGGATTCGCAGGCTTTCAGGAGGAAAGAGAAGGTGAAGTTGTTCGGTGGAATTCCCAAAGCCCTCATCTTGTTGCAAGCGGAGAAGGCTTCATTCTGGCATCCTTTCTCGACAAAGCATTTGATCATGGTATTATGCACAACGACATTCCGGCTTCGAGCATTCTGGAAGATCCGCATGGCATAGTTTAGGGAGTGGAAAGCTGAAGAGAGATCCATGAGCTTGGCAAGGATAAAACTGTTTTCTCCCAGAGAATGTACAATAATCTGGAGATGAATCTGCTTCAGCTCCCTCAAACTTTTGACCTTCTGGATTATTTGGAGCATCTTCTGCTCCATCTTCCCCGGAAATGAAGCTTGCATGACAGTTATTATAGTTGAGAAGCGTACCTGGGTAAACTGGAGAATGTGTGCACCTGCTGCTCTATATAAGCTCGAGAAGACGGTAAGAGTAGCTTTACCATAATGCCCTAACATTGGTTGTAATGCCGCCAGGCCACGTCTACGTGAGGCAGCTCCATGTCTCTCTTCTATCCAAAGCAACACAGGATCCACTGCTGTGGACTCAGCTGTTTAGAGATTACCTCTCTCATGGCTTTCCAAAGGAAGCTCTCCTCATATACACCCGAAATCTACCAAACAGAGCCCATCAACGTATCCTGCCTTTGGTCCTCAAGGCATGCACCTCACTCTCTTTCGTCGCGCTTGGACAATCTCTGCATGCGGAGTCGGTCAAGTATGGGATAGACCATGAGCTCCTGGTCGGGACCTCCTTGGTTTCCATGTACTGTAAATGCCATCGAACGACAAACGCTAGAAGGATGTTTGAGGAAATGCCGGAGAAGAATGCGGTGACCTTTAATGCGATGATCAGCGGATACTCCATGGTTGGTGAGATGGGCTCAGCTTTGGACCTCCTCGATCGGATGCCCGGAAAGACTCCGGTGACCTGGGTTGTGTTGATTGAAGGTTTCGCGAGAATCGGTGATACCGTTGCCGCGAGGCGCTTGTTCGACCAGATCACGGACCAGCTGAGGACGGTCCCGGCATGGACTGTTATGGTCCATGGCTATATTATTAACGGTGAGACGGATGCAGCGAGGACGTTGTTCGACCAAATGCCGTGCAGGAATGCCTTCGTGTGGTCATCGATGATCACAGGGTACTTCAAGAAGGGCGACGCTGCGGAGGCCCAGAGACTGTTCGATCAAATTCCCGTGCGGAACTTGGTGAATTGGAATGCGCTGATCGCGGGTTACACCCAGATTGGATGCTGCGAGAAGGCATTGGAAGCGTTCAGGCGGATGCGGAGGGACGGTTTCGAACCTGATGAGTTCACAATGGCTAGCTTGCTGTCAGCTTGCGGGCAGCTGGGTTCTCTGCAACATGGTAGAGAGATGCACGAGCTGATCAATGGGCGGAGAATCAAGATGAATTATTTCGTGCTGAATGGGCTGGTTGATATGTACGCAAAGTGCGGGGATGTCGAGCGAGCAAGGAGCATATTCAATGGGATGACCAAAAGGAACGCCTCGTGCTGGAACTCCATGATTTCGGGCCTCGCTAGCCATGGTCAAAGCAGAGAAGCTCTCCGGCTTTTCGCGGCAATGGAGGAGTCGGAAGAGAAGCCCGACGCGATCACATTCCTCGTTCTTCTTTCCGCTTGCACGCACGCAGGATTTGTGAAGGAAGGGCTAGAGATCTTCGCGAAGATGGACAAGTACGGATTGGCCGCGGGAGTAGAGCACTACGGGTGTTTGATCGATCTGTTGGGGCGAGCGGGAAGGGTAGCGGAAGCTTATGACGTGATCCAGAAGATGCCGATGGCGCCGAACGAGGTGGTGTGGGGGGCATTGCTCGGAGCTTGCAAGCTGCATCTGGAGACCGAGGTGGCCGATAAGGTGATCCGCCATGTGGGTCGCTTGAACTCGGTTGCCGGATGCGATGCGCAGTACGTGATTCTATCGAACATTTATGCTGCTTCAGAGAAATGGCAAGAAGCGGAGAAGATAAGGAGGGCAATGCAGGAGCACGGAATCCAGAAGTTGCCTGGTTGCAGTTCTGTTGTTGGCGGGGAAGACAAGAGAGGTTGAAAACCTATTTTATTAGGTTTATCAAATTAATTAATTAGCTTACCATTAATTACGTCTTATGTCACTCTAATGAGAGCATGAAAACCGATGTGATTAATCATTAAGTTCTTATAATTAGGCCAAAAAAGGCATTTATCGGTTAAGTATTAAAGTATCTTAATTTTCTCAGTTATATTTGCGGTTCTTTTATTCTTCGCAGATAGAGGTCTGTACCGATTTGAATTCGAGCTCTAATCGGTGGGAGTTGAGCTCGAGCTCGAGTTGGTCTTCGATCGAGTTCTGAATCGATTAGTTTGTTGAGCTCCACTTAACCACTTCGATTCGCTCCACTCCGCTCGATCTGCCCCAATGGGAAGCATCAGCCGCGGCCGCAACCTCGGGCCGGGCGCCGGCGCCGGAGCACTACAGGTGCCGTGCGGACGGGTCCACCAGATCGGCGCGCTCGCCCTCATCGCCGCCACGTTTCTCCTCACCCGCGCCTTCGACCGTCTCTCCTGCGGCCTCTCCTATGGCGGTCTGGCCTCCGTGGCTTCCTCCGCGGCCCTCTTCGATCGGGCCGGCTCCCTCTTCTGGCCCGACCGGGGTTACGGCTCCCGCCTCGACCTCAAGATCTACGTCTACGAGGAGAAGGAGATCGATGGCCTTCGCGAGCTGATGCGCGGGAGGGACGGCCGGATCTCCCCCGACGCCTGCGTCAAGGGCCAGTGGGGAACGCAAGTCTGCCGTTTAACCCTGTCTCATATATCAAGATTCGAATTAATCTTTCCTCTCATTCTTTGTCACTAACAGAATAATATGTTGCTATCTGAAATCTCTGATACCAATTTCCTAAAAGGAGAAGCCCTAAATGTATGCCCATATGCTTCTGATTGTTCGAGTTTGAAGTTGATTTGGTTTGATTGATGTTATATAGGTCAAGATCCACCAACTGCTTCTCAAGTCAAGATTCCGGACAATTAACAAGCAGGAAGCCGATTTCTTCTTTGTTCCGTCGTATGTCAAATGTGTGAGAATGATGGGTGGTTTGAACGATAAAGAAATCAACAATACATATGTAAAGGTAGATTAATTTTGATTATCTTTCTTTCTTTCTACAATTTCGAGTGCAATTACAATTTCAGAATCTTGTACTTGTATACCGTTTTTGTTCATTGGTTGTCAAGAGAGGGGATTTTGTTTATACTTATTCCTTGCTCTTATTTGGAGTCCATGCAATTTTGGTTTATTTGTGTAAGTTGCGTTCAACTTAGGTAGTAGATCCATTGGTTTATCTAAAGATTTATGTTTTTCCCTAGACTTCTTTATGATGAAATTGCTCATTGCTTTGTGTTTGATGTTAAGATTCTCAGTCAAATGCCATATTTTCGATACTCGGGAGGCCGCGATCACATATTTGTCTTTCCTAGGTATTATATTTTCTGCTTTTATTTCAAATACAGCTAAGCGTCTGTTTAATTTAACATACTGTGTTGTGCTTAATCACAATTGTTTCACAAGAAGTGCAGTGGGGCTGGTGCTCACCTGTTTCGCTCTTGGGCAACATTCTTGAATAGGTCAATAATTCTGACTCCAGAGGTACTATTTCTTGTCCTATGTGGGTTTCATATGCATAAACAAATAGAAGAAAAAAGATGATGAGGTGAATAGTTTTTTAATATCTTTTGTCCATGTTAGTTGTCAAAAAGATTGTTACTACTATTGGTGGTATATAGTGATTATCTTAATCTCATTCACAAGTCTTCCTACATGTTTCAGATTTATAATTTTTGTTGCTGAAATGTTGTGGTTAAATTTTTATTAAGCACCTTCCCTCGAAAGCAAACCATTTATTTGATTGCGGGCGTGGTTTAATTGCTTACATTAGTTCATTTGGTTCGAATCTATAGTAGTTAAGACAAGGTTGGATTGGAATGTCTAGTAAGGGTTTCAAAAAGTAGCAGATTGCAAATAACACTAAGATAAGACAAGTTGTCTTAAATGCCAGTGAATACCTGTTAGTGTGTTTGTAAGAAGGGCTGAAGGGGTGACTTAGTTCAAATTCATGGCATCATCAGGTGGAGAATAAAAACTACATATATGGGACCTAAACAAAGGAGAAAGATTGATGCATTCAACATAAATGGTTTGGAACTTTAAAACTTTGTTGCTTCCAGTGACGTTGTTAGTGTTGTTTAAAATTAATCAGCAAAAACTATTGGGAGTACGCAAACATGATTAAACTAGCTCTTTCAAATGGACAACTAAGCTTCCTTATTTCTCTTTTGTGTTTGATGGAAAATAGGGGTTTGGAACCACTGAACCAGATAATTAGTAAGCACTTCAAGATCTATCATGGTATCTTTATTAATCCCTACATCGTAAGAATAATTTCTGTTTCTTGTAAGTGAGATAAAAAGTTCGATTCGGAGGGGTTTATTTTGTTTGTGGAACGAAAAGATAGGAAGAACTGCTTAAACTTTTGCTTTTGATATTAATCTCTTTTCTTAAATGGGTAGAGAATTTCAGAGAAGATCCCAATGCTAGGAAATGAAACCAGGCTATAGAATAACAACTTTCTACATCTTTGCATATTTTTTAGTTCAAGAAAATGAGTTATATACTCAATTTACTTTTCTATCCTTCAGAAATTTATGTTTTTTCCTCCACCAGTGTGCTTCCTTTTTTCTCAACCATTGTCTTGGTGTAATTACATTAGCATAGTTGACTGGATGATATGCAGGTTTTGGTAAAAATCTTAAACTGGCCATATTTTTAAATTCATATGTAAATTAAGCTTTTTTACATTGTGTCTATATCCTTCATCAAGGCTAAAAGAGATGTATGTCAGAAAGTCTGCAATTCCTCATCTAAAATCTAAGTTAGTGTTTGATTTTCAGAATGACAAGCAAGATGTTTCCTTTTTTTATCGATAATATCTTATTCAATGCTTTTCTTTCCTTTTTATACTTATCCTTTTCTTCTTCTCTTATCTCTTTTTCTCGTTTTCTCCTCTTCTTTTTGTTTCTTCTCTTCTCTTTAATGTTCAATATCACCTCATAGCAACCCCATTAGCTGTGAGCCAAACAATATCAGATTAAGGTCGCTATGTGTATCAGCGTGATTCTAGTGTTTTATGTTTGTGTTGGAATTTTTAGTTATTGTCCCTTAGCTTAGAGAAATCATGCTACATTGTTATTTCAGGACTGCAAGCTCATTGTGATGCTCCTGAGTATATTTAAACTTGTATGTGAACAAAAAAAATAAAGTATAAGTAGCTTATGTTTCTAGTGAAGTCTTTTCTGATTATTGCTTGGTTCTAAGGTTTCCCCACTATCTTGCTATGGTGATTCTACTAAAAATATTAGTCATTTGTGTTGCATGTTGTAGAATATTAATTTTGGTGTATCTTAGTTTTACATTCATCTATTTTAGTATTCATATTTCATTATTTTATTGACCGTGCATATGTAATTGTTGAAATGATGGTTATCTATTTTTTTTAGGGTGATCGCACCGATAAGCGTGACATTAGTGCTTTTAATACTTGGAAGGATATTATCATTCCTGGAAATGTTGATGACGGAATGACCAAATTTTATGGTTCCAATGTGGTCCAACCTATTCCATTATCAAAGAGGCAGCACTTGGCGAACTTTTTAGGACGTGCCCAGGGTAAGGTTGGTCGCCTTCGATTGGTGGAACTTGCTAAACAATATCCTGATAAGGTTAGTCTATTATTATGATATATTTAATTTTCATACATAAATTTTGTTTTCCTAACTTGAAATCCCATGCTACTTATTAGGTTGACTGATACTCATTTAATATTAAATGAAAAATGAGAGATATATCAAGATAGCCCAACAGCAATGGTAGCATAGTATATTTGAATCCAAGCTTGTTTACACATATAAGCACAAGTCACCGTGAGCTACATGTGACCTTAAAGCTGGTAATACATGGAAATCATCCATAAACAAAAGCCTTATTCTTGGAAGAAGGGATTTCAAGTTTTCTAGCCATATATATTTGGATATATGCACAATATAGATTATGATACAAGATGTTCTGCTCAAGGATAGGCTGGAATACCCTAAATTTTTCTCTTGGGTAGAAGCCATAAACATTATCGCACAAGTTGAACTCTGATAGATCAGAAAAGCTTTTGGTATGTTGGGCTTTTGGAAATATAGAAACTTGAGGTTTCTGGTGCTTATGTTTTTATGAAGATTTTGTTCTTCTATCTGCAAACAAAAGAGGCAAGATAAGAGCAAAGAAGATAATTTAACTAAAGTAAATGGGAAATGTGCTATTGAATTAAAGAGTGTTTTGATTTCATTCTCAGTATTATTTGATTTCCTGAACATCAAGCATATTGATTTCATTTGCAGCTGGAATCTCCAGAGTTGCAACTCACAGGGCCTAACAAGTTGGGAAGGACTGACTACTTCAATCACTTGAAGAATGCTAAGTTTTGCTTAGCTCCACGTGGCGAGTCATCATGGACACTTCGCTTTTACGAGTCATTCTTTGTGGTCTCTCTCTCTCTCTCTCTCTCTTCTCTCTGTGTGTTGTGTTTGTGTGTGTGTGTGTGCAATCGTGCAGAGATGCAAACAGAAAAACATGCAGATGATTACACACTCACATAGGCACAATCATGTATGAACACAAGCACATGCATGATACCAATGTTTCTGTAAGTTCAGCCTAGTGGTTGCTGTTAAGACTCACAAAGCACAAGCTTGTACATGATAGACATCAAATTGTTATTCCACAACATACTTGTCACTGCACACTTTTTCTGGTATTAAGATCTTTTAACTAAAGATTGGTACTCTTTTATCTAAGTATTACCAAATTTGTGTTCATACGTCATACGGATAAATGATTATCATTGTTTAGAGTGATAAATGTAACATAAAGTCATTCATGATATCCAAATAACTAGAGGATAGTAACAATCTTGCCACTTCTATTGTTGGTTTGGATCATCTTATTAAATCTTAAGAGGCGTGCACTTTTAAACCTTGCATTTATATTATCGTAACAGAGGTTTGTGGATACATATTTCTGCTGAGTCTCTAATTCGATGAGCTGTAATACAGGAATGTGTCCCTGTCATCTTATCAGATCAAGTTGAGCTGCCTTTCCAAAATGTGATCGACTATACTCAGATATCCATCAAGTGGCCATCTACTCGGATTAGCACACAACTCTTGGAATACCTAGAGACGATACCAGGTTAACTTTTCTTGGGTGCTTTCTTTCTGCTGACTCCCCAACTGTGTCCGATCATCCTGAATGTTTCACACTGCCAGATGAAGTGATTGAAGCCATGATAGCTCGTGGGAGACAGGTGAGATGCCTATGGGTATATGCCCCAGAAACCGAGCCATGCTCCGCCATGGTAGGTATCATGTGGGAGCTTCAAAGAAAGGTGAGGCGTTTTCACCAGTCCGGAGAAACATTTTGGCTTCACAATGGCTCCGTCGTTAACAGAGACCTTGTTGAGTTCCATGATTGGAGGCCACCTGTTCCCCTGCCTTGATCATCACATATTAGCTCTGGAGATTTTGTTTGGAGTTGCTTCATTTCTATATTTCCATCATTTTTGCTCGAATATATGTATATGGACATTTACACCAAACCTGGAACTTGTTTTATATGGTTCCACTCTACCATTACTTTCACAAGAGAGTTTGTCAAACCCATGTGGTATTCTCTCTTTTTTGGATGATGTGATCTTGAAGCTTAACTTTTGAGCATATTATATTTTTCTTGTCTCAATATTCAAGATTATATATCATAAATCATGCCATCTGTGTACCGAATCAGCCAAATACTTTTGACTAAACCCTACAATTGGTCATAACTGTTCTAGTATTAATACCTTGGCTAGCTAGTGGCTACACTGGACATCCAACACTTGGCTGAAGTTATCGCTGCAGGGTAGAAGTGCAATCAAATGAAGTAAACGGATGCAGCCATTACATTATGAACGTAGTGTATGCCCTAATAGTAAAGTAGGGCATGCTTATAACAAGGAATTGGACCCAACAATTGGCAACCTAATAAATATATATATAATTTTACTATTTATTGTCTCTCAATTATCAATAATTTTTTTCTGATTTTTTATTTCATCCATCAAAATCCTATATGCGTTTAAGTCACTCATTGCCACTCAATCATCCAGCATCGCTTGACGCCACGATTCATCTGCAACATCAAACACCACTCGACACTCGACAAAGAAAAACTCTATTTCGTCGATTCATCTGTTGATGATGCTATTTCGTCGTCCAATGTCGCTTGATGCCCCCTCTATATCGATGGATGATGATGTAACTCCGTCGTTCGACGTCTCTCGATAATGAAATATATATATACATATATATATATATATATATTTAATTTTATAAAAATATCATATATATATATATAATTTATAAAAAGATATTGAAGAATATTAAAAATTCTTTAAAATAAATGCAGAAATAATCAATACCCCAAAAGACCGTATGACCGTCCCTTCCTCTTCTCGACTCTTCGTTTTCCGCGTGAAATTTTGAGCCTGTTGCGGAAATCGGCGTCGACGATCGTACGTTGATTCTTCGGGTTCGAAGCTCTCCCACGGTAGAAGTTCGTTTCTTGCTGCCCTCTGGAATTGGATTGGGATCATGAACCGGTAGTTTCGTCGCCTGCCATTCGTTCTTGGATGGAAGTGGCTGATCCGCTTCGATCATCGAGGTCGATTTTGATCTGCGCTGGACGACAGGATGGTCGATTTCGATCTAGGGTTTCAGCTCATCGGAAATGGTGGGCGGCGCTGCGCGAGGACCAACCTTCGGCAGTCTGGCAGGGGTTGGTTGATTTAAACAAGTCTCGAATGATCAACTTTATGTGGTATCTAACCTCTCTTCCCTTCTTCGATGTGCAGGGTGAAAAACATGTAGTCAGATAACATTCTGGAATGGCGATGTTTCCTTCTTCACATGTCATACTTCTGTTTGGGTTCTTCTGGCAGGCGCTGCTGAAGACCAGAGTTGAGTTGTCCATAAAATGAAGCAGCTTGTTAGGGTAAATCATTCATTCCTTTTTAACTCATTCATTCTGTATGTTGTTTGGAGTTGAGTGTTTCCAGTAAATCCACAATGTTATTATTGATCAACGTTTACAAATATGAAAACCAACTTTTTCCCTTGGGAAAAAAGATTGCAGCTAACTAATTGCTTTGATCTTTCAGATATATTCCCTTATTTGATGTTACAGAAGTGAGCTCTCACTTTTACAAATGATTCATTTGATTAAAAAGTAGATAATTGTTAAATATTCTTATGGGAAGCTTGATGCTGCATCCAATGCCATTTGTCAATCATCATCTCTAAATATTATAGTTATGTTGTAATTTTAGATGTGAGCTCTACTAGAATCAAAAATATTCTGTCAACCACTGCTATCTTACATTTGCTGCTGCCATGAAGTTACCAGGATTTTAGGAGAAATTGCGTGTTATATCATCTCACTGTTATTAATATTGTTGATACTATTTCTACTGTTATTATAAGACAAAACATCACAACCATGTACAAAAGAACTCCTTCCAGCTTATTGAAGTAAAAGTCAATAAGTAATTAGAAAATATAGGTACAACAGTCAGCACCTCATCTGTGAATACTACAGACTAGTGTGCTCAGCTCTCTCCAGTTTTGAGGTCTGGGAAACATCAATGTATCCAACCTTATATTTAAGAGCAGAAAAATATTTCTACAATTCAAATCCTGATCACCTTAATTACAAAGGAGCAATCTTATCATGACATCAAAGTCTACATCTAATAAGGTCATTAGAAATCCTTTTATAGTATTGAATACATAGCTGGGAAGTAGGATCAAGTGGCTTAACTGTTACGGTCCAAAACCTGAGAGGAATCAGTCCATTGAATGCCATGAGATTGACTAGTTGAAGTCTAATGATGTGTCCTTGAACCAGCTCGGTCCATAGTCCTCTGAGGTAAAATACATACATGTATGTCATGTGATTTTTTGTCATATACACCATAACCAAAATTAAAGCTACTAATAATGACATAGAAGCAATCACATTATAATAATCAAATAAATCTAAATGATCACAGTACCACAGTACCTTCATAAGCCTCAGAGCACCCTTATCCAAGGAAGTCACCAGTCTCAATTTTTTATGGTCTCTCTTGTGCAATAAGTCTTTTAGAAATACCTTTTCAGAGAAGATAAGTAGTTTCAGAACCATCTGTAGCTCATAAATTATACTGACACTAATAAAATATTCCTGTCATCACCAGCTTCTACTAAAGACACAGCTGAGTTGCTCTGTGCCCCATCAGAGGATCCCTCTGGACTTTATGAAGCACATTGTATGTTCTCTCTCTTCCCCCACCCCCCACCCCCCCCTCCTCCTCCTCTTTTCTCTTTACAATTCAGCTTGGAGTCAAATGAAGGTAATATAAATTACATTGGTCCATAAGTAATTCAAATAACTTATAATATTCAAGGCTATTTCTCCATCACATGGATTGCCATAGTTAAACCCAGGAGTCTTTCATACTTCAAATAACTTAGGAAAATGTTATTAATACTTCCAAGCCAGCAAGTTTCTAGCTACCATAAACACTTGTTGATTTCCTCTGAAATAGACTTCTAGGACACAACCTACCTCATGTCCAAGAAGATCTCAAGTAACTTTCTGTAGTACCTCTACCTTAGCATTGACTTCTTGCATCTCACTGTTTTTCCTCGAGTTGTTTCAGAACATCCTTATCCTTAACTGAGTTGTGTATGGGTCTCCCTCCTCCATCAATTCTTGCCATTAATATGTCAGTGGCTGATATTGTAGATGTCATCGTGTTTCCATACATGTTTATTAACATTAAAAATAATGTTGAATTTGTTACGATTAGAATATTAGAATATTGGTTTGGAGTTTAAGTTTGGTTAAATATTAAGTTATAAATAATTGAGACTCTTTAGAGTTTAGATCTATAAGAAAAGGTAGAACCTTCTTTCATATGTGTGGCCAAATTATATGAATAAGCAACAGTAGAGGGGGATACAGAGCTCTTCATCTTCTTTAGTTGATAAAGTTTTTCTGTATTCGTTGCTCAGTTCTTTTATATTATTGGTATTTGGATTTCTCTCTTCTCTTTTGTTATTCGATCCATATTATTAATAATATACATATATGTGAGTCGTTTATACTCAGTTATAGTATAAAAAACGTTTGGTTATAAGTGTACAACAATACTAGCATTGCATATTAGTACACCAGCATAACTCTATAGGTAGAAAGCAAGTGACACTGTTAAAAACTTGGGTAAATGAATGTTCTGCACAAACTTGAAGTACCAGGAATTAGTCAAGTTCTACCAGTACATGTACATCTCAAGTGCATGCAAGTATGTCTATGTGGCATTCCCGTGGCATCCATGTATTGTTTAATACATGTACTTTAATGCCAAAGCATCAATGACTTATAGATGACAGCCTAATACTTGGTGCCATTTAGGGGGATAGGCTGGGGTCTGGCAATGGAGCCTGCGGCATGGGTTATTTATCCACAGAAACTTTCAGAGAATGATGCAGTCTTGTACTAAAAGATTGAAAAGGTTGGGAGGATACCAGCCATCTTTGCATCATTTATCATATAGAAGACATTTATGTAATTCTCAGCCCTGAAACAAAATAAAACAAATGAAAACTTTTACTATGTATCAGCATAAGAAAATGATGGCCTTCTTTGCATTGACTTCTTTCGAGGCATATATATTCTACTGGTGAGGAACTTTGCTGATTTACTTAATAATCATAGCATTTGGTGTTCAGCTTAACTTGATGTCTGTAATTTATTCAGCAACAACTAAATTCCTTTTCTTTTTCCCTTCTGGTCTTGATACATTTAGGTACAAGAAAGTGAAAATACTAGAGAGAGCAAGCAACTAGAAACTTTACTCGTTCTAAGGATTCTTATTTTCTTTCTTTCAACCATCAATGACACCATCTTGTTCTCCTCTTCAATTTGGTGAGTTGATAGCTACATGCATCAAATTTCATGTCCTTTGGAAGCTCGAAGGGAGCATTAAATTCAAAGCCGGTGTGTGTTCCTCCCCCTCTCCGAATACTGTCAGAAACTTGCTTTGTACTTCTCTTTTCCACTCACGTGCAGAAAGTGAATGCGGTGAGATTTTGTCCAATTCATCTTGGAACTTGTCTTTCCTTTACTAGGCTCTAATAAAGTGAACGACTTGAGGCAGCCCCTCTTTGTCCACATATTTCTCTCTTTCATTTGAATCTGTTCCTCTTTCGACCATGCTCTTCAGTGCTGATGATACTGAAACGATCATGTGACATGTGAGAGTACACCATGCTGAACAACCACCAAAACAACATATGGTGGCTTTTCTTTCAGGAACTCATACTCTGTAAACATCCATGTAGATTATGGATGGACCAGTTTATAGAAATCCATAGTCACATTGACAGTAGATATGAGATGTCAATATCATCAGAGATTATTGCATGATATTATTCTATCTGCCACAAGTTTTGGAAACCTTATCAAACCTAAGCTTCATTTTATCGAGGTATTCAACAACAATGAATACTATATGTTACTTACCTGGTTTCTACAGTACTACTTAGTTGGAATTCTGTCTGATTCATATTAAGAAATTAGAATAGCAGTCTGACTCTGTTGTCTCTTCTGCATTTTATAGATTTAATCATTTCTGTCGCAATGGCTTTCTTAAATTGCATGTCAACAGTAATATAGATATGCTACTCTTCCTTCCCTGCCATTTTACACTACTGTCTCCATTCAAATCAATTCCTGACTTTTAACTGTACTTTCCATGTGCAGTAAAAATCCTATTGATGGTTGATTAAATGAGGGACTTTTTCTTTGGCAGAATTACTGCATTCAATCGACTCAGGTACTTCTCAACACTTACTACTTCTCTTCATTGACATCTAGTAAAACATAAATAGCTACTCCTGTGATGAATGAGATTCTATTTTTGTCTCAAGCTTTCTCTAAAAGGAAAAAAGAAAGAATGATAGCTTTAAGGAGAAAATGTTGTTACAAAGAAAAAGGTGTATGTAGCAGTGCGGCTCAGATTTTGCACTGTAGAATGTAGGATCGGACCAACTTGTCCTTCAAAAACAATTATATCTGCTCCCAAGAGATCACTCACTATCTTGTAGCCCTCCATATCTCTCATTAGTTATTGTAGGCAGTTTACATCATATCAATGTTGGTCTCAAGTTTCATGTAGTAAAAAATGGAGGGTTACCTCAGATCATTCACAGTCGGTATAAAAATTGTACAGATCTTACGAATAATTATTATTATTATTATTTTGTTGTAGAGCTCAATGATCTTTATGTAACTGATTTTAAATAGTTGAAAATTGTTCCATCTATCCATCTTTAGCATTTACAATTGCATATTGCTTGGAGTTGATGAGTGTTGTATCTCTAATTTTGTTAGGACAAAGTTGATGACGCAGTATCCACTATTTATAGCATATCGAAGATTTTGTTGTGATCTGAACCAGTGAATTAACCATTTGTTGCAGCCTTCACTACTTGGAAGCATTCTTAGCAGTTGCTTGGCATTTGAGCTCCCAATGGAGCTTCGCCCACTAGCCTTCCTTTGGACTTTAGGGAAGAGAGAGAGAGAGAAAGAGTGTGTGTGTGTGTGTGGGCGCAAAAAGCCTGCAATCATCCTTCACGAGGAGCAGCAGCGCTATCATGGGATCATTTGGTGGCTTCCTTATTCTTCTCCACAACGCCATTATTCTATTGCCCTCACCATATCTCAACTCAGAAACCAAATGTAAAAGCATGTCACACATCCTATGTGACTGTCAAAAGAGTTCCACCTCTGTCTCACTGTAATAAAAGCCTCCCCTTATCTTCCACCCAATTCTCCCAATTACTTCTTGGATTCATCGGCTTATATATACTCTTCTTCTTTGCCATCACTCTTGGATCCACTTCAGTGTCCTCTATCTCTCTTCCTTTGCACTCCATGGATAACATCAGCAGCTACTCCGGTAGCAGCTCTTGGGATCTCGAGATGATGCGCATGGCGACTCAGTTCCAACCCCACATCAATTCTCCATGCTTCGCTTACGCCCGCAGGGAGGCGGAAGGGAAGCAGGAAGAGGAAGAAGAAGAAGCTCTGGGCGCCGTGAAGGAGATGATGTACCGGATCGCCGCCATGCAGCCGGTGGACGTCGACCCCGCCACCATCAGGAAGCCCAGGCGCCGCAACGTGCGCATCAGCGACGACCCGCAGAGCGTGGCCGCCCGGCACCGGCGCGAGCGGATCAGCGAGCGCTTCCGCATCCTGCAGCGCCTCGTCCCCGGCGGCACCAAGATGGACACCGCCACCATGCTCGACGAGGCCATTCGCTACGTCAAGTTCCTCAAGCGGCAGGTGCAGCAGCTGCAGCCCACGTCGGCCGAGGCTCGCGCTTCCTCCTCCTCGCCCTCCTCCTCCGCCATGGGACCTCCTCCGGGATTAGGATTTGGCGCCCATGTCCAGGGCGGCCACCGCCCCATGCACTAAGCTGCAAGCGGCCAGCAAGCAGCAATGGGCGGAGATGATCTCTATATAGCCAAGTCATAAGGTGCAACGAGGATAGTGTACGAGCTACGCATTAAAGATGTAATGCTTGGGGTGCAATAGGAAGGTGCACACAGGGCTACCATTGTGTTCTTGCCTCATTCTTGTGTTAAGTTACCTAAATATGATTGCTCATGTCCAGGAAGAAAGATCAGAAGAAAAGAACAAGACGTTCATCTAATTAACAGCTCAAGAGATGAGTCTCTCCACCACAAACATTTTACGATATGCATTGAGAGTTCATTTTCTTTGAGACACACACATCAAAATCACACCAATGCATAATATATTCCTAATTGTAAGGCCCTCTTCCAACAATAGTTTAAATGATATCTTGGGATTAGCTTAAGCATTTAGGTTGTAGAATTTTATGATGGTACCTCTAAATTTTTCTCTGAGATAATAGGAAAATTAATTTCTAAGGGGGATAATACAGTTTTTATATCAATTATTTTATCCTTGTATCATACTGTACAACAGAGGAGGTGATGTATGTTTCTTGTGTCAGTGGTAGAAGATAGATAGATAGATAGATAGATAGATAGATCTACATTCTTTGACATGTGACTGGCACATGGCCTCACAAACATCTCTTCAATGTGTGTTCATGGGACCAAATATTATATGAATGAGATGGCATTCAGCTTTTTGCTTGCCAACTTGAGGAAACATACACCCATGTCGTCACAGTCAAGAATTTACTCGCATGTTGATACTGTTCTTTAGCTTATTACATGATTACTGCTCCAAATCCTATCATCCTCCATGCAGAAGACACTACGACACATCAAATGATCACTTCAATCTTCCATGCAGAGTGGAGAAATCTTGTGAAATTTATGGCAGGAATTAGAACAAAATATGAGTCTGGGATTTGCTTGGTGAATTCTTGCTGAATGGCAGAGATTGTGAGCTACGCAAGCGCTCTTCCATGGCCGTCCTAAATCGAGCAGTCTCGGTAGAATGCAAGATGAAGCAAGAACATGTGTCAGATCGTCTTCCTCTGTATCTACCCTGATTGCTATGAGCTAGGCGGAGCTGCAGCAGAATCATGGGGCGAGTTGGCCTCACCCCAATGCAGCAGCATGCTCTCCCAAGAGCAGAACTCCTCGGCGCAAACACCCAATCTTGGATCGGTGATGTTCTGCTTCCAGTGCCCGTCGGGGTACTTCGCCTTCTCCGCCTGCCTCCGGATGTGCTCCAAGTACGCCTTCGTCTTCGTCGGTAGAAGACAGAACCCCCGAAGGTTTTCCGGCAATGCGTCGTGCACTCTCCACCACGTCGCATGGGCCGCGTCGCTGGCGAAATCCCGGTACGACTGCGGGTTCCAGTTGCAATCGTAGTCCCGGAAGCACAGCCACGGCTTCGGCCCCAGGTAGTGCAGCACGTACAGAGCCGGTGGATCCGCCCCCATCAAGCCGTTCTTCTTAGCCTTCCTCCTCTCCGTGTAGCCGACCCAGAAGTGCTTCAGGAAGTTCATGTTCCTCGGCACGCGGTGCCACCACGTGAAGATCTCGTTCAGGTAGCCCTGGTCGCCGCCGTTGTAGGAGGTGATCTCGTCCACGTGATCCATCAGCAGCCGGAACGTGCAGTCGGAGGGCTCCACCACCATGACGCCGGAGTTGAAGAGGGTGGCGTTGTTCCCCACCGCGCTCACCTCCGGCATCGCGAAGAGGAAGTCGATGTTCCTCAGCACCAGCAGGTCGGCGTCGATGAACACCACCTTGTCGTAGTCGGTGAGCTGCCACAGCCGGAACTTGCTGTAGTTCCACTCGTTGTAGGCGTCGCGCTTGGCCTTGGGGTTGCGGATCCTCTCGATGGTTCTCAGCTTCCACCCTGCAGCTTCCAGGCCGCCTCGATCGCGTCGGCTGATCGTTTCATCCACGAGGATGACGAGATCCCTCGCAGATCCCGACGAGCGAAGGCTTTGGGCTGCGGCGATCGCTCCGCACACGTAGTGCTCTGCCGAGTGCAGTATCGTAGCATATGCTTCTCGTTTCCCGGCCTCCGTGTAGATCCGCACTGCGAGCACGCAGCGGAGAGCAACTCGTGAATCGTCCCGAGAGTTCGTTAATGGCCGTGCATCCACAAAGCTCTCAGAGTCATGTAGTCGAACGACTGACCTTTCTCTTCATATGGGATTGCAAGTTCGCATGACCCAACCGGAAGCCGACGCTTCTCCTCCAGTGTCGCTGGATCAGGCTTGTACAGCCAAAGATTCCCTTCGTGCCTCACGAGATCTCTGCAGGTGAAGAGGTTGGGAAGAGGGAGGCAATCGGTGAGAAGAAGGACACGGAGTGCCGCAGAGGCAGCAGCCAGTTTGGCTGCTGCAAGCTGCAGGTGCAACCTGGCGACATCCCTGGACCAGCGCCCTGACCTGTCACAGGGCAGCTTGACGGCGACAAGATGGAAACTTTCTGACCCTCTCTTGACGCGAGGCTGAGGAAGAGAGGGACAAGCGGGCGCTACTCCACTCTCCTCTTCCTCGTCGATCCACTCGGGGTAGAGAAGCTCCCAGGTGAGGTTTGTGTCAGCGTGATCCAGATGCACCGAGGAAGGCTCTGCATGTGGCGGCAGTGTTTGCTGCCAAGATCTGACCTCGGACAAGTTGAAATTTAGCAAGCCAATTCTGAGATTTCCTTCTCCGGCACAGTCGATATCCTCGAGAGTGCTCGATACTTGGCCCCAATCAACATCCAAACGCGAGATATATCGAGGATCTGCGAGCGTCGTTTGCCAAATCCGTGCAACATCTCCAAACCGAGACCTGTTTGAAGAAATGAAGGTGTCACCAAAGCATGAGGCGACTCAATTATACCAGAGAAAACTGTACCCTGAACTTGAGTGCAGTGGTTGATCTTTGCGAGTTATGGGGGAGAAGGCAAGCGTTAGAACCATGCAACAGGCGAGGACGAACAGAGCAAGCTTCAAAGACGAAAGCTTGCGACCGGAGCTGCTCTCTGGAAATAGGAACTTGCGCTCGTCTCCTCCGACAACTTTCAGCTTTTGGGCTTTTGTTTTGCCTGTGTCATCCCTGAAACAAGAAGAGAATACATGAGAGTGTTCAGAAAAGGCTTCACCGAGAAAGGAGAATTGAAATCCATATGCCAATATGCAGAAGACACAGTTTGCACGATGAAATTGTTGAAACAGCAATGAGGAGAAAGCTTGAAATCTTTCAACTTTAAAGCTTCCATAAGATCTGTAAGCCGAGCCAATGGTTTAAGATGTTGGCTCTGATATCAGCGACTCAAATCTGGAATCATATATGTTAGTTTGACAAGTCTCATCAGGAAAATCAAGTTTTCATCTCTTATTACAATTATAAATAAGGGCCTGAGCTTTGAAGTCAGATGCACCATAAGAAAACCTAATTGTTTGCTTTAGTTCTTGTTGAATAGTTTCAGATGTTTTATGGCTTAGGAACATTTTTCTAAGGCATTTGTAATAGTCTCTTTTTATAGTAATGTTTTGCCACTCGTTCGTTCGTGGATGTAGGTCAATTGATCAAACCATGTAAATCTGGTGTTCTTGTCTCTTTTTATTTTTCTGCTTTATTGTCTTTGTTGGGTTGTCAAAATTATTCTTTGATAAATTTCCTGGAACTAGCTTTAACAATATAACCACTAGTCAAACACAGTTTATTACGGAAAGAAGTCAGCTTTGAATCCCCATGAGAAGATGTTGCTCTCTCGATCTCTTCCGTAGCACATAAATGGAATAAAGTTCATCATGGCCAAATCAATTGGATTTATTACTTTAAAGATACCATTCTTCCCTAAATTCGACGAAAATAATTTTGAGAATAAAGTTTTCTCTATTATTTACTTGAAGCTCTCCACTTACTCTCATCTCATGTTTTCTCGTTGACTTTTTTCTCGTATCCTTAAAATATATGATCGATGAAAATATTAGGAAAAATATATTATAATTAATTCTTAGAAAGAGAAAAAGAAAAATTTAAAAATATACTCATGAAATATTAAATAAGTGATCCGATGCATAAAACTCTTATCTAACGCGAGATATACAAAAGATGGCTCAATGTATATAATCTTATTTTTTATAAATATTCTTCATAGTAAAAAAATATATATATTTTTTATAAAAAAATGATCATTTTTTTCCAAAGCAAAAAGATAATGACTTCCCAAGAATCATTTTAATATGACAAATAAGATTGCTTAAAACTTGCCCACCACTATCTAAATTTCATTGCTTTTTCCCATTGAAGCACAGGAGATGAACAGAAAGTGCACTTCAACATTCTGAAACCTGCCATTTGATGACACCAATTGACAAAAAAAGAGAGTTAGTGTGGCTTGCCCACAAGTCTCTGAGCACCTCTCTTTTGGATCACAACAAGTGTTGAGATGGTTCTTTCTTTGTTTCTAGGAAAGAGTAATTATGGCAGGAGGGTTACCTCAGCTGCAATGAAAGCAATTAATAGCTGTTCTTCTTTTCATTGCATCAGAACTTGGCAATTGATCACTCACTATAAATAAATGTGGCCAGTTTCAGAGTACATAACTGGAGAGATGCATCTGCCTATGGAGAACTGATGCAATCAATTGCACATGTCACAGGAGATGGCTTTCAGCTCCATAGAGCCCACTCTTATTCCATTGTACATAAAACAACAATGTCAAATCAGCAGTGCATCATCTTGCCATTGGTTTCTGGTACTTGATTGAACAGTTGATATGACACCTTCAGGTAATCAGTTGGAATTGATTACATGTGAAAGGCAGAAAAATTACTGATGGATTGATGATTATAAGAAGTATTAAAGTTAGATTTGGCTTTTTATTCCATTAGCAGATTCGAGATCATTTTCATCGTCATAATAATGACAAGTCGATAATTTGAAACTAAGGTTGGAGAAGTAATGCATATGATAATATCTTTAGTTATCACTGGAGTTATAAAATAGTGATAGGGCATATTTTGGTACCACCCCGCGGTAATAGTTAGCAACTACGTCAGCGCCAACACGAAGTCTCAGGACTGATATGGTGCATTACGTCGACATGTCACCTCGAGCTCGACATGGTGTACAAAACGGTGTCGTATAGTATAGAGTCACTTCGGAAAGTTTGGA